TTGTATGGGTGAGTTTGTGTGTGGCTCAGTCTGCACTTGCCCCTGGAGTGAGTCTCTTAACCGCTGGGGACATCTGGGTTGCCAGGGTGTGACTGTGCCCCAGGGACACTCATGCCCACCCTGGCTGGCAAACAGGATGCCTCTGGCACTCCGGCGTCCTCAGCCACTGGCCCCCATGATCCTGGAGAAAGGCCACTTTCCCTGCCGCCCAGCAGTGGGAGTGGGGGTGGGGGAGGACTTTGGAACACTTCCCCCTCGCCATTTACTGTTTACCAAAAATGCTAGTTAGGTTGTGACCTTTGGCTGGCTGAGGGAGGGAGCCTGGGGAGGTGATAGTGGGTGCCAGTGGGGGACTGTGGGACTCTGGCAGGGCAGAGGGACTGCCAGGGCAAGTCAAGCCCAGAACAAGGAGGAATTGGCATGTGGACAGTGGCTGGACTTTGGCTCTCAGCTGGCACTGAAAGGAGGGCCCAGGATCAAACCCATTGCTGGCTTGTCCCATCATCCAGCAGGTCTTAGGAGAGCTTCTTCCCTGGCCTCCCGCCCCCTGCCCCCTTTGTTCCCCATCCTGTCCCCTTGAGGCTCGCCCAGCACCTTCACATGGGGTTGACAGTCATCTGTCCTGGGAATGTGTGCCCCAAGATAACTGGGGCCAGGCGCATCCTGCTCTCTGCCGGATCCGACCGTGGTGAGTCCTGCACAGGACACGTGTGTGGTGGGCAGTTCCGATCACCTCTCTTTCCTGTAGAAGGGGACGGGGGAATGTTGGTCCACACCTGGGGCCCTAGCCTCCAGGTAAAGTAAAAGCTGGACCTAGTGTCCATTCCATGGCCCCCACTCCCAAGTTGGCGATCTTCATGATGCCCTGGCCCTGCCCGGTCCCAGCCCTGAGCTCTGAGGTTGTTCTGAATCCCCTGGCCCAACCCCCCCCAGCTCCTGGAGGTGTGGTAGTACATCCATGTATTGTTGTTGTAGCTCACACTGAAATGTGAGTGACTGACAGGCACACATCGTTGGGTGTTTTCAGAGAGGGAGGGGCCCCTCGCCGCTTGGATGTGAGTCCAGGTTCAGCACGGGAGTCCGAGGAGCACTGTACCCCCTCCAATGCAGAGTACCCTTCCACAGGGGGACGGCTGCCTGGGGCCTGGGCTACAACTTCACCAACCTGGACAGGTATCTGGACCTTCTCAGGGAGAACCAGCTCCTTCCAGGTGAGTGGTCAGGTCTGTCAGCAGCCCCTGTCCAGGAGCCCGCCCCAACCTCTGCCTCTCCTCCCTCACCCAGGAAGTGGGGAGAAGGGAGATGAGAGTGCTGGGGGTGGGGGGGTGAAGTGGGGGGGCGTTACCTGTGACTGTGCCGCAGGCTTTGAGCTGATGGGCAGTCCATCGGGACGTTTCACTGACTTCGAGGATAAGCAGCAGGTGTTCGAGTGGCGGAACCTCGTCTTGCTCCTGGCCAGGAGATACATTGGTGAGCAGGCTGCAGTAGGTGTGGTTGTGGCCCCCGTGGGCGGGCCCAAACAGCTGTGCCCTCCAGATTGGGTAGGGATATCTCGAATCCAACACCCCTTAACGTCCAGATCCCCACCTATGGGCACCCCTCCCTGGAGTCCCCTTTTGGCCCAGCATGTCTTCACACCCCCAAAAGCGGGGCCTTGGCAGGGCCATCAGCCCACGGACTTGGGGCGCGGGGCACCTTCGCAGATAGATACGGGCTGGAGCACGTGTCCAAGTGGAACTTCGAAACGTGGAATGAGCCAGATCACCACGACTTCGACAACGTGTCCATGACGATGCAAGGTGGCCAGTGGTAACGGGTCCTCTTTGAGCTGTAAGGGGATGGGGGATTAGAATGGAAGCCGGGAAGGGGAGGGCCACCCTTGGGGAGAACGCCTCACCGACACAGTGGTGCATACGGGGTCCCGTCTGCCCAGGATTCCTGAACTACTACGATGCCTGCTCCGAGGGTCTGCGAGAGGCCAGCCCAGCCCTGCGACTGGGTGGTCCCGGAGACTCCTTCCGCCCCCCGCCGCGCTCCCCACTGTGCTGGGGCCTCCTGGAACATTGCTACAATGGCACAAACTTCTTCACCGGGGAGGTGGGCGTGCGCCTGGACTACATCGCCCTCCACAAGAAGGTCAGGCCGCCCTTCCGCACCGCCCCATCCTCACCCCCACCGAGGTCACGTGAGCCGACCATGGGGGTGCTGAGGCCCCGCCTCTCGCAGGGCGCCGGGAGCTCAATCTTCATCCTGGAGCAGGAGCAGGAGACCGTGCGGCTGATCCAGAGCCTCTTCCCCAAGTTCACCGACACCCTGATCTACAACGACGAGGCCGACCCACTCGTGGGCTGGTCCCTGCCGCAGCCTTGGAGGACCGACGTGACCTACGCCGCCATGGTTGTAAAGGTGGGCTCTAGACCACCTCGGCACTTCTCTCCCGCCTGCACGGTTCCGTGTCACCCGCCCCAGCCAGGCGCCTCCCCCAGGGTGGCCCGTCCACCGTCCCAGCTGTGCCCTGCCCCTGCAGGTCATCGCGCAGCACCAGAACCTGCTAGTGGCCAACAGCAGCGCCTCCATCCGCTATGCGCTCCTGAGCAACGACAATGCCTTCCTGAGCTACCACCCGCACCCCTTCGCCCAGCGCACACTCACCGCCCGCTTCCAGGTCAACAACACGCGCCCGCCCCACGTGCAGCTGTTACGCAAGCCGGTGCTCACGGCTATGGGGCTGCTGGCCCTGCTTGGTGAGCCCCTGACAGACGAGGCAGACCCCTGGGTGGAGGTGGGACTCAGCTGGGCCAAGGTCACCAATGACCCCCAAAACCCCAAATCCACTGCCATCTAGGCGATGCCAACTCAGAGCGACTCAGTAGGACGGGGTAGCACTGCCCCCGTGGGTTTCCGAGACTAACTCTTAGATGGGAGTAGAAAGCTCCTCTTTCTCTTGTGGAGTGGTTGGTAGTTTCGAACTGCTGACCTTGCATTTAACAGCCCGAGGGGCAACCACTATACCAAAGCTAGCTGTGGGTGGGGGTAGACTGGCGGGGAATGCATTCAGATGGAGGAGGAGCATGTGCAGAGGTCCGGAGGCCAGGGCAGAGCTGACCTTGCTGGCCTATTTCTAGGGCACCGCCCTCGGGAGCCACCCAGCTGCCCCCAGCCGTGTGAGACCCCCTAGGATCAACGCTGTGGCCAGAGAGAAGGGGGGTGCAAATGGTGGGAAGCCAGCCCCAGAGTGGAGGGAGGGTCGCCGATGGTGACCCCTTCGTTCCCCTGACCCCATGCGGCAGATGGTGAGCAGCTCTGGGCGCAGGTATCTCAGGCCGGCGCAGTGCTGGACAGCAACCACACGGTGGGGGTCCTGGCCAGCGCCCACAAACCCTCTGGGCCCAACGATGCCTGGCGCGCCTCAGTGCTGGTTTACGCGAGTGACGACACCCGTGCGCACGCCAACCGCAGCGCCGCCTTGACCCTGCACGTGCATGGGGTGCCCCCAGCCCCCGGTGAGCAGATGGGGCTCCGGGACTCTGGCCCGGCTGGGCTTGGGATATAGCTGCGAGGGGTGTGGCCCACGAGTGAGGCGGGTGGGGAAGGGGAAAGGGCAAGGCTGGGAGTGGGGCGGGGTTACACATGGGCGGGGCCAGTGAGCAGTGTCCGGCTCTGCAGGGCTAGTCTACGTGACGCTGTACCTGGACAACCGGCTGAGCAATCCTCACAGCGAGTGGCAGCGCCTGGGCCGGCCCGTCTTCCCCTCTGCCCAGCAGTTCCGGCGCATGCGTGCAGCCGAGGTTCGGGGTCAGAGGTGGGGGTCTTTGGGGGGGGCGGGGTGTCTATGTAGTGTCAGGTCACCTTGAAATCCAAAGGAACGGACATTAGACCCTCAGAGAGGCCTATCGCTACTCTTAGGACCCAGTGGCTTCAGCCCCGCGACCCTTCCCCGCTGGTGGCCGCCTGACATTGCGCCCGGAGCTGCCGCTGCCCTCCCTGCTGCTGCTGCACGTGTGCGCTCGCCCAGAGAAGCCTCCGGACCAGGCAAGTGGCCCCAGCCTCGCCTCCTGTCCTGGCCCTGCCTCCCGCCTCTCAGCCCCGCCTCCCAGCCCGCTCTCACTTGCCCACCTCCCCAGGTGATCCGGCTTCGGGTGCTGCCCCTGACCCGTGGGCAGGTTCTTCTGGTCTGGTCGGATGAGCGCATGGGCTCCAAGTGCGTGAGTGGGACCGTCACCCCGTGCTGGACCTGCTTGGGTGTCCCCAGCCCATTCATCCTGTCCTGACCCCTCCCACCTGTCCCCCTCCTCACGCCTGAGGGCACTCCCCGCACCCTGTGTGCATCTCATAGTGCTGTGTGCCCCCAGTCCTGCATGCATGCACCCCCTGCCCTGTGTGCACCCCATTGTGCAGACAACCCCTTGGCCCCATACCGCCTTTTCCCTTGTGCCCTTTCTGTGCCCTCATACAGCCCCTCTGTGTGCATAAGACCCCCCTGCCATCCAGTCCGTTCACGACCCAATGTGGGGTGGGGGTACCTGCAGGGGACATTTGAAGTGGGGAGTTGGACTCTAGACCCTTCCCCTCTGCCAGTCTGGCCTGTGTCCATTGCTGATAGTGCCCAGGGCCAGCACTGGGTCATCCTGTGCCCCACCCCCAGCCCTTGAGGGCCCCACCCTGACCCCAGCCCTGACCCCAGCTGACTGTCCTTCCTAGGTGCCTGTGGACATATGAGGTCCAGTTCTCCGAGGAGCGGGGTGATGGGTTCACTGCTGTGGGGAGGAAGGCATCGACCTTTAACCTCTTCGTGTTCAGCCCAGGTCAGCAATTGCCCCTACCTGGGGCTGCCCACTCCCTCAGGGAAGGACTGGTTCGACGCGCAGGCCCACCTCCACCCCCACCAAAGACCAAGCCCACGGCCACGGCTAAGAGTATAACTGCTCCGTGGGGGTTCTGAGGCTGGAAGAAATGGGTGGTCTTGAACTACTGTCCTTATAGCTAGCAGCACAATGGTCCAGTGCCCAACCCATAGCCCCACCAGGCCTCCTAGGGCCTGGCAGAGTCAGGCAGCGGGGGCTTTGGAGATGCAGGTGGGTTTGGGGTGGTGGTGGCATGCACCTGAGAACACCCAGATACCTCTGTTTCCCCAGACACGGCAGTCGTCTCTGGCTCCTACCGGGTCCGAGCTGTGGACTACTGGGCCCGACCAGGCCCTTTCTCCGATCCTGTGCGGTACCATGAGGTCCCTGTCTCATGAGGGCCACACCAGGCAACACCGTGAGCCTGAACTGCCTGTTGCATCTCAGGGCCGGTCAGGAGTCGAGATGGGCCGGGTGACTTGCTGTCAGCTCCGTTTGTCCCCTCCGGCCCCTGACCCTTAAAGTGCCTTTTCCCGACGTTGGTTTGGAGGTTAGACTTTGTGGATGAGCACTGGGAAGACTTGGGGTGAAGCCCGGAGAACGAGACCAGCTTGAACCCCTGCTCAGAGCCCTGGCAGGTTTGGGCTGCTGGCAGAGGCTGCAGCAGGCTGCTTGTCTCCGCTTTGCGGCACCTGAGACGTTTCCTAATGTCACCCTGCGCAGGGGGCCTGGCTTCTGTGCCCCAAGTTTCTGAGCTGCCATGCAGTGTGGGGCGCCGAGCTGTGCCGGGCGGGACATGTTTCCAGGTGCTCAGGCCTTGCTGGGGCTGCTCCTTCTCCCACCACAACCCAGTGGCCAGAACAGGAAGAGTCATTAGTGTCCATGGTGGTCTGTCCCCACCCCTGCATCACCCTGGGCTAGCTGGAACCTGGAAGCGATTCCCAAGTTCAGATGAGGATGACTGGGGAGGAATTTAACCAAGACACTTTGTATACAGCAAGGTGGGCAGAGTCGTGGCTACAGGGGTGGGGGGTGCAGAGCCCCGGAGAGGCCAGAAGGGGCAGTGGGCAGGGAGAGGTGTGGAGACCTGCCTTCACACAGATGGGTGTGGCCCGCCTGTGAGACCCCTCTGGATGGGAGTTGGGGAACTACTTGTCCCCCATCCAAGATTCTCGTGGCTGTAATCACCCCTCTGGAAGATGAGGCCCCTCTTACACACACCCCACCCCACCCTGGCTGCTGGGCATCTCCCTGGAGGTCCGGGTCTGAGGGGGGCGGGGAAGAACAGGAGATACACTCTCCCCCTTCAGTCTCCTCTCCTCTCCCTTATCCTCTGTCCATGGGAAAAGCCGTGTCCCTGTGTGTCCCTAACACGTGGGGCCAGCAAGTCCTGCCAGCTGCTGAGTCAGGGGATGGGCATGCCATAGTGATCGTCCTTCCACCAGGGATCCGTAAGTCCTGTCCATTTCCTGCCTTCCCTGTGTCAGGAGCCCCGGGTGGGCTGTGGGTAGAGTGTCGGGTTGCTACTCCGAGGTTGGTGGTTCGAACTCACTAGCTGCTGGGCAGGCAGGATGAAGCTGAGCCAGTGCCTCCAGACCGGTGACCGCCTTGGAAGTCTGTGGGGCAGCTCTCCTCCATCCTGGAGGACTGTGCCCGGTCAGGGTGACTGCGGGGTGAATTTCCTCGTGTTGGCCCCTCAGGGCTCAAGGCTGGCACCTGGTGAGGGACCCAGATGGGCACACCCCCTTCACGGGACTGACGGCACAGGGCACCGTAGTGGCATTGCCCTCCTGAGCCCTTCCCCAGGGTGGTGCCATCAATAAAGGGTGACGGCAGTGTGCCTTGGCCTTCGCTGTGGGCAGCTTGGGCTCTGGGCCAGGCTTGGTTGGGCCAGGCCGCCAACAAGCCCATGCATAGCCTCCATCCCTGCTCTCCTGGTCACTTTGTATGGGGCCTGCGGGGCCTGTTGTTGTGGTTCGGGGCCAAGGAGTCAGTCTGACCCGTAGTGACCCAGAGCACAACAGAAGGAAACACTTCCCGGTCCTGCACCGTCCTCACCATTGTGCCTGAGTCTGAGCCCACTGTTGCAGTCTGTCTCCGTGCCGCTATAACGGGACTACCACACCTGGGTGGCATTAACAAACAGATGTATTCCAGCAGCCCAGAGACCGCTCCAAGAGCAGGCTTTCTCTCTCTGGGCGCTGGGGGAAGCCTGCTCTCTGTCCAGTGTCTGTGGACCCCCACATTCCTGGGACATCTACATGCTCCTTGGCACCAATTGCCCCCAGGTCTAGGAGGTTCTCAGCACAGGTGCCCGCCTCTTCTTTGGGGATGGCAGTCGGTCCTGCTCCTCTCTGCTCCCTTGCTCCACCTCTGTAAAGGTCTAGGCCCACCTGACCCTGCCCGTGGTTTCCGGCCTCATTGGCATTGAGCATGATGCTCTTCCCCAGAGACTGGTCTCTCCTGACAACACGTCCGAAGTACGTGAGATGACGGACGTCCGCCTCTGGCTGGGCTTCTTCCAAGACAGATCTGTTTGTCTTTTTGCAAGTTCATGGTACTTTTCAATATTCTTCTCCAGCATCATAGTTCAATGCATTGATTCTTCTCCAGTGTGTTAGGCCAGGTTGACTAGAGAAACAAACTCAGAGACACTCATATAGATGTAAGAGGGAGCTTTATATCAAAGAGTAGTTGTATATTAAGACGGCCCAGCCCAGTGCAGCCCATAAATCTGATATTAGCCCATATGTCCAAAACCAGCTTATAAATTCCTCTTCATACTCGCACAACACATGCAATGACACTGAATGCAGGAAGATCACAGAGTGGAAAGTCTTGTGGATCCAGTGGTGGTGGAAGCGTCTCAATGCTGTTGTGGGTCTCCACGCGGCCCCTCCAGCTCCAGGGCTCTAACAGCTAAGCTTGTCAATAGGAATGTCTTGCAGGAACTGTGTGTCCTGCCTCCAGAGAGGAAGACAAGTTCCCAGGATCCTCGGGATGGCCACACCCACACAGACATGATTGGCTATGACCTGATGGACAGGCTAGACCCCACCCCTTTGCTCAAGCTGACATGGAACTGCCACACGTGGAGGTGGGGAGGGCAGGTGCATTTTTTCCAATAAAGATAACTACACCCAGCTCTCAATGACATCGCCCCATAGGGTAGAGTGTGGCCATTTGCCATCACTGATGCTCTTGGGAAAGCTACCTGCAAGGTCGTTAGTTCAAGTCCACCGACAGCTCTTTGGGAGAAAGTTGAGGCTGTCTGCTCCCATAAAGACTTACAGCCTTGGCAACCCTGTTGCAATCCACTCTGTGGCAGTGGGTAACGCCCCTGCATCCATTCCCACCCCCCACCCCCCCACACACGTGAGATTGCAGGCCTAACTCAGACTGTGGGCTCGGTTCCATGACAGCAAATGCCACAGGAAGGAGTGGTGGCCCGGTGCGTGTCATAAAGCTGCGTTTATTCCGTCTGGGAGTCTGACGTGTGGGGGGACATCAGGAGCGTGAAAGTCAGACTGAGGAGGAGCGTGGTGAGCACACGATTTGAAAGTGGCGTCCATAGACTTCCTTGGCCACCAAGCGTCTGTCACAAACGCAGCATCTGCGAAGTGCGGGAAAGCAAAGGCAACACAGTGAGGCGGGCCTGCCTGTACCATGAGTTCAGCATTGGTGGGGGGTGAGGGGCAGGGCAGGTTGCAGTTCCTGACATTTCCGATACAGGCTCTGAAGTCCTGCTAATTTCTAGTCACCCCCTGTGTTTGGCTGGGTTGCCTAGAGAAACAAATCCGGCGACACAAATCTGTACAAGAAAGCTTTATGTCAAAAACTATATATCAAGAAGGCAGCCCAGTCCAACTCAGATCCATAAGCCACCCTCTTCCGACTCACGCAGCCACATGCTGGTGACGCAGAAAGGTGGACCAGGAAGATCACAGGTCGGTGGGTGCAAGGTCATGTGGATCCAAGAGCGATGGGGATACGGCAGTGCACCCGCAGTTCTCAGGGCTGGGAGGCAGGAAGGTGGGGAGCAGCGAGAGAGAGCAGTTCCCAGAGTCCCGCAACCTCAAACAAAAGGCCACGCCCACAGGGAGGCGTCACCAAGCTCCCACTTGATTGACAGGCTTGACTCCACCCCTAGCCAGGATGTCTAGACAAAATCATCCACCTACTGCATCCCCAAACCAAGGGGCCTTCTGGAGATGTGGCCATCGGTGAGGTATTGAGCTGGCTTGGCTCTTTCAGTGGGGCAGGTGGTTCTGCAGAGTGCCCTTCAGGGGTTTTTCTGTGCACCCAGGATGTAGAGCAAGTGTGGGGGGGAGTCAGATACTTGCTGCCAGTCTGCTGTCTCATCCCACCAGGGGGGTGGGCCTGCTCCCTTCTGCTGGAGACAATGGACTACTCTCTGAAGCTTGGGACCATTAGCTTGGTTCCTGTAGGAGGGGTTTGCACCCTACTGGTAATGGTTCCTATGGAGACCCAGAGACCACCCCCTAGACCACCCTCTCATTACTGGGTACCCTATAGTGTAACCCCTCCCTGTGACGTATGTCTCTACCTGTAATTAGTGGGCTGGCATGCCCCCAAAAGGTATGTAGGCATGGGTCAGCAATATAGAGCTTCCGGACTTCTCACTCGGACCTCTGGGACTTGGACCCCTCGGACTCTGACCTCCCTGACTCTCTTCCCCCTCTCCCTTGTTCCCTTTCCCTCCTTCCCTTCCCCCTCTCTCCACGTGGACCACTAAGCTGGGCTGAGGTGACCAATGTTGCTATGTAATGTCTGACTGTATTATTGTAATATCTCTCATGCCTCGATGACTTTAATATAATACTTATATATCTCAACCGTACAATTGTGCATTACCGAACCCTGAAGTAGTATTACTGAATCCGAGTAGTACAAATAGGAGTATTAGCGGTGGGGGCTGGCCCCCCACCCCTCCATCAGCGTCTTTATTTTTTAATTTAATACTACGGAGCAAGGACATACGTCCACACTTAGGCACCAGCAAAAGCCTCACATTCGTTCCTTGATCTGTGTCATTATCTGTGGATCACCAGAAAGTCTAAGTTTTACCTTTGCCCGGGATGAGGTCACTTATACCTGGGAACTGTGCTGGAGGTCTCTTCCCAGGGACCCAGTCTCCCCACCAAGCCGCGAGCACGATATCCCCGCTCAGAGCAGCCAATGCACAGAGAGGACCATAGGGCCGGCCCCACCGCGAGACACGTTCCTCACTGACCCATAGCCCTACAGGGGACAACACTGGGGACACAGTTCCGGAATTGCACCCAATCTGACTCCACCACACTGAGGCAAAACACCAAGGGCGTGCAACAGAACAGCAAGGGGAGCAGAGCAAGGAAGTCTCCAGGGAATACCAAAAATAGACTTTGGGGTCAGGATGTGCACCCCATGAGACACGACTGGAAAACACTCCTGAAGGTCAACAAACAGACCTTGAACTATTTACAGGCTTTTTTTGTCATTGGTTTTTTGTTGTTCTTTTCTTTTGTTGCTCTGTT